AGGACAATGAGAATCAGATAACATATAAAAATGTTTATTTCACTCAGAGGAAAAGGGGGAGAAGGTTGAAGATGGTAAAGGAGAGATAAACAGTTATGGGAGAAGATATTACTTGATACAGTACAAAATATAGATGATGTATTATAGAATAATTGTACACCTGAAATCTATATAATTTTTTAATCAATATAATCAATACATTCAATAAAAAGAAAAATGGTTATTTCAGTTAAAAACAAAAACAAAAACAGAGCTTAGTAATTTGTTATGAATTACAGAATTTAAGAAAAAGAAAAAGCCTTCTTTATATATTCAGAATGGTGTTAAAACAACAACATTAAAGTAGAACATTAAAAATAATTCAAATGAATAACCACAAATTTTCCTTTTCTGTTCATTTAGTCCAATATAATTAAATCTTTCCTGCTAAACATTGAGCTAGCAATTTCATGAAACTATCAGTTTTTAAAAAAAAGTATTTTATTGATTTTGTACAGAGAGGAAGGTAGAGAGGTAGAGAGTTAGAAACATTGATGAGAGAGTCATCGATCAGCTGCCTCTTGCACATCCCTTACTGGGGATGTGCCCGCAACCAAGTTACATGCCCTTGACAGGAATCGAACCCGGGACCCTTCAGTCCCCAAGCTGACGCTCTATCCATTGAGCCAAACCGGTTTCGGCACTATCAGCTTTTTTATTAAAAAGAGTTCTGAAAATCTTGTCTTAATCCACTGGTTTGGTGTGAAAATTATCTAAGTAATGTTAACTCAAAACCCATACTTATGAGTCTATGCTTCAAAGCATTAATAGTGTGAAGTATCTGGTTTGGTCCTTTTTTATGGGTCCTTCTTTGTTGAAGATACAAATTCTTGCCTGTAATTTATAGGAGAACCTTCAAGAAAATATTAGAGTAAAACAAAAGATATTTGTAAGTGTCAGAACCTTAAAATGCTCAGGGTTAATTATATCTGATAAATTGCAAATGTGAAAGGTTATAAAGATTCTTAAGAATAATAATGCAACTTACAGGGAAATTTGATTATTTATTTGGCATGCAAAACTGCTACAGGTGATGGATATACTATATAAAAAGCTATCCATATAAATTTAGTAAATATTAAACCCAGCTTGTTACTCTAACTGGATTTTCTTTTCAAAACTGGAATTTACATGCTAAAAAAAGAAGTTTCCACCTCCTGAATTCCCACTAGCTCCCTAGAGGAATCACTGGGTGGACCAGAGATTTTAAAAAAATTATATATATATATATATATATATATATATATATATATATATATATATTTAATTGATATTTTTACAGAGAGGAAGGGAGAGAGATAGAGAATTATAAACATCGATCAGCCACCCCCTGCATGCCCCCTATTTGAGATTTGTCCACAACCAAAGTACATGCCCTTGACTGGAATCAAACCTGGGACCTTTTAGTCCACAGGCAGAAGCTCTATCTACTAAGCCAAACTGGTTTCGGCAGATTTTTTTAAAACCAGAGATATTAAGATGGGTTTTTGAGACACAGGAGGTCCAACCCCCTGTTCCCATTCCCCATCTTCTCAAGTTGTGGACACTTGAATAAACCACTTTTCCTCTCACCAGTACCTGTCTCACAAGTTTGGCTTTCTTAGTGGTGGGAAGCTGGACCTGAGGGTCATTTTCCCAGTTCCAAACCAGCTAATAAAGCCATTTCAAAAATATTTTTAGATAAAATGTCTCTAAAGATTATTATTAAGCCTATTTCAAAGAAATCAGTGAATGTCACACTGATTCATAAAAATGGATAAACAGGACTTTTATAGAGCAAGAAATCTAACTTTCCTAGCATAGGTGTAGGCTGTGAGAAGACAGAGAACTTGGCAAAGGAATTCATAAGTTAGCTATGATTTTGGGTAGTTCTTCCTGTAAACTTTGTTCTGAAGAGTGGGATGGTTGTGGTCTGTTTTATTGATCATATGCTATTACTAAAACTCCTCCAACTTTACAGAAACTGCCAGGATCACTCAGAAAGAACAAGACAGTGTGATAACTCCCCCAGAAGATCATCTAACACGGTGGCTCTCAACCTTCCTAATGCCTTGACCCTTTAATACAGTTCCTCATGTTGTGGTGACCCCCAACCATAAAATTATTTTTGTTGCTACTTCATAACTGTAATTTTGCTACGTTATAAATTATTATGTAAATATCTGTGTTTTCCGATGGTCTTAGGCGACCCCTGTGAAAGGGTTGTTCGACCCCAAAGGGGTCGCAACCCACAGGCTGAGAACTGCTGATCTAACAGATAGACTTGGGGCTATGCAGGGCCTGAACAAGTGAGAGCCCAAATCATGGGAACTGCAGTGGTTAGAGATGGGATAAGAGAATTATAACTGAAAGATCTGGCAGAGGTTGGAAAGGTTGGGTTCTGTGGATTGTAGCAGGTTTGTGTGAATTCATTTTACAAAAGTGAATTTTTATGATTCCTAATAATAACTGAAAATATCCATCTTAGATATGCAAGATAGTTTTGGGCATTGATGGTAACCAACTGTTCTCTAGCTCCATGAGGAAATGACCTAAACTGAGCAGGCTATCAAGGGCAAGTCCAGGGTGTAAGAGAAGGAACAATGGGTGGGTGTTAATGGATCAGGGTTCTGTTCTTGTTCTGCCTTAGGCAAGTAACTTTTATGGTAAACAGGAGAAATAATTCTAGCTTTTTTGTGTGTGTGTGTGTGGAGGTGTTGTGAGGGTTATATGAGGTCATTTATGTAAAAATGAAATAAAATGTAAAGCCATGTATTTAGCTTCCTAGAAAACCAAAACAACATTTTTGTGTGGATTGGAAGAAAAACTCCTTTTCAGGGTGAAGTCAACCCTGGGTCAGTTTGTATAATTTGTTGAGCAGAGCATGGGTTAGGTTTCAGCCTCTACTTACCCACTTGGCTAGCCATGCTTGAATGGAGCATAATCTTCAGAATTATTTCTGCAAGAAGAATCACACTATGTAACATTATAAAGAAGCATCACTACCAAGATGGGATTAAAAAATTTTTTTTTATTGTTCAGATTATTATAGATGTGCCTCTTCCCCCCCACCTCCCCTACCCCCCATAGCTCCTCTCAACCCAGTTCCAGGCCCACACCCTCCCATCACTGTCCTCATTCATAGGTGCAAGATCTTTGTCCAATCTCTTTCCATACTCCCCAAACCACCCCCCCCAATTGTCAGTCTGCTCCCTTTCCATGTCCCTGATTCTGTTACATTCACCAGTTTATTCTGTTCATCAGATTTTTTATTCATTTGATTTTTAAATTCACTTGTTGATAGATATGTATTTGTTATCACTGTTTTTCATAATTTTTTATCTTTACCTTTTTCTTCTTCTTCCTCTTCTTAAAGAATACCCTTCAGGAGAGAAACCAAGATAGTGGCATAGGTAAACACTTGAAATTGCTACCTTACAAAACCACTTCAAAACTACAACTAAAAAACAAAACGGATATCATTCAGAACCACAGGAAGGATGACTGAGTGGAAATTCTACAACTAGAAAGAAACCATTTATTGACGAAATTAAAAGGCTCAAGACATTTCCTGTCTTGGATGTCTGGGTCTGTCTCAAAGCCAAAATAGCCTTACTTCAAAGCGCTTGTGGGAGCAGAAAGGAGAATTGGCTTAGTGTGTTTACGCTGAGTGGGGGAAGTGGGAGGGGAGTAGGCTTAGGAATAAGTCTGGGTTTAAGAGCATGTGGACCACAAGGTGGTCATCATTTTTCTGAAGACCAACATCAAATGCACTCCTCAGAGGGAAGGCAACCCTGGGAGAGAAGAACTTGTTAAAGAAGAGGAAACAATTTTGGAAGCTACGTAAGTGTGCTGGTAAGTCACAGTGGTGTTGGGTGCCCCAGGGAACAACATGGACTGTACTTTCTCTTTTAAAAATTAAAAAAATGAAACATTTTCAATGTTAAAGAAAAATTACAGCAATGATACAAGGAATCTTGAATATCCTCTATCCCAGATACATTATTTAAAAAAACTTTTTACACTTTTTTAAAAATAATTTTTTTTCTCTCTAAACCCATTACACATATACATATAACCTATATTTTGAACCATATGGGGTTTGAGAATAGTTTGCATACACCATGTCCCTTTGCACTTTAATATTTCGGGGTTCATTTCCTAAGAACAATGATTCTCTTAAATAATGATAGTATGATTTTACAAATTCAGTATATCAAGCATTGATACAATATTCCTGCCTACTCAACAGATTATAGCAATTTTTTTCTTTTAGGGAATGCCTTTTTTTTTTTTTTAAATACATTTGTGGTTTTTAATATATATATATATATTTATTGATTTCAGAGAGGAAGGAAGAGGGAGAGAGGGAAAGAAACATCAATGATGAGAGAGAATCATTGATCCACCGGGAGTGGGCCTAAACTGGCAGGTGGACATCCTCCGAGGGCTTCTAGGCTGCCAGAGGGATGTCTGACTGCCAGCTTAGGCCCGATCCCCTGGGGAGTAGGCCTAAGCTGGCCTGTGGACATCCCCTGAGGGCTCTCGGACTGCAAGAGGGCGCAGGCTGTGCGGAGGGACCCCTCCAGAGCATGAATTTTTGTGCACCGGACCTCTAATCTATAATAATTTCTCTCAAATAAAGTGTGACAGTGTAGTTGTTTGTCTTCTCAACCAGTCTCTTGGATGACTTGGAACTAATTTCTGTTGAGAGTCAACTTCCCTCTACTGTTGCTCCACAGATGAACCAATTTTAGAACCACATGCCTTGCTTCTTCCTGTTCTGTAGGATCCACAAATCATTACACAACAACAGGGAATGTGGTGTGGAGGGACAGGAGGTGACTTGAGGGGCATGGGGTAATGTAGGGGAAGGGAGAGGAGATGCCAAAGGCTTTGCTGTCAGGGTTTAAGGAGCCTAGGGTCTTTAGTGAAGCCAAGTTTCATCTCAAAGTCAGTCCTTCCTTTTCCCCACAGGAAAAATGAAGCTGCCTCTGATGCAAATCTTTTTTATGATGTTGCTGCTGCTGCTGGGCCTTGGGATGGGCCTGGGTTTGGGCCTTCGGATGGCTGCATCGGTCCTGGAGGATAGTGATCACTCCCTGAATGAATTGTGGTCCAGTGACTCACAAGACAAGGCTGAAGCCACTAAGGAGGGAGAGGGCACGCGGACAACAGAAACCCTGCTGCTTAGCAACAAAGGAGTGGTACAGCCTGGCTGGCCTGAAGAGACCATCGTCAATGAAGATGAAGTTGGAGGAAACAAGATGCTCAGAGCTGAGGCTCCTTCTCAGAGTAACAAAGACTATCCCAGGCTTGACCTGATGGCCCGGGAATGCAATACTATGATGGCACACAAGATGAAGGAGCACAACCGCACATGCATCACCCAGTACACATTCATCCATGAGGAGCTAGATACAGTCAAAGCTGTCTGTAAGAGTCCTCTCATTGCCTGCGAGCTCCAGGGAGGCAAATGTCACAAAAGCTCCCGTCCTTTTGATTTGACATTTTGCAGGCTATCCAAACCAGGCCAAGTCACTCCTCACTGCAATTACCTAACATTCATTTTTGAAAAGTTCATCATTATATCCTGTAATGACATGAAGGTCCAGGTAATACCTACATAATGAAGCAACTTACTTTCTTCTTTTTTTTTTCACCTTCCCCTCTTCCTCTTTCCACTTCCTCTTTCTCCAGCTATTTTCTCCCTCTTAGGTATTCTGCAATAAAGGTTCTGCGAGCCTGCAGATATAGAAAATCTCCAAATGTGCAAAAATAGCAGGTGGAATGTTAAAATCTGTGGTGGTCTAGTTTGTGTCATAAATACCAGCTACACCAAAATTCAATAAAAATTTTGGTTTCTGGTAGAAAAACAATACATAAAGGTTCTGGGAAACAAGGCTGGCCTATTTTTTTTTTAAATCATTTCCTCATAAAAACACAGTTCTTCTTTGACCCAGGGTTCACATTGCTTATATTGTGTTCCTGGGATCTGCAGTGGCAGAGTAGGTTAATGATATCTAGATAGTTCTTCCTCTCATCCTATCCCCTGCCCTGGAAAGAGATTGGTGAAGAAATAAATGTATTCCTGTGGTCCTGGTCATTAGCCTGTTTGCCTTTGGGTATGGACACAAGAGTTTAATGCATCCCTTATCCATGCCTTTCCCTGCTACCCACCCTGAGTCTCTAGAGTGATAAACTTGGACTTTCCACACAGCACTTCTCCGCTGCAGATGCAAACTAAAGTAATTGCATCTCTGTCTGAATCTGGAGGACTATGTGGAATGGGTGTTTTTCTTTCCCCTTTTCCCCCCTTTTTGTTGGCTTTTTTGGGGTAACACTGGTTAACAAACTTATCCAGGTTCAGTTGCACAATTCCACAACACATCATCTGCCACTGCATTGTGTGTTTACCACTCCAAGTCGAGGGAACGGCGTCTGAATAGGGCCTAGACTTAGGAATTTAGGGATCTGCTGGTAAGGTGTTATGGTCTTGCAGACTAAGACAGAACTCATTCTAGAGACTTACTAGTTCACCATACAATGAATTGTGTAGCTTTTGGTTAAGAAGAAGTCAAACTTGAGACCCTTTCACATTTAAAAAAAAAATACATTTTATTGATTTTTACAGAGAGGAAGAGAGAGGGATAGAGAGCTAGAAACGTCAATGAGAGAGAAACATCGACCAGCTGCCTCTTGCACACCCCCTACCAGGGATGTGCCCGCAACCAAGGTACATGCCCTTGACCGGAATCGAACCTGGGACCTTTCAGTCCGCAGACCGACGCTTTACCACTGAGCCAAACCGGTTTCAGCAGGAGACCCTTTCACATTTTATTACCAACCCTAGGAACTGGACAAATTCCTAACATGGCTAATATTCTCTGACATGCACTCTTCTTTCTTCTCCTCCCACCTCACATAGAAAGTCGCCCTCTGGTGTCTGGAACAAACAGTGACATCTAGATGAAGTACCCTGAGCTTGGACTGACATCTGTTGCCCTGAGTCTCATGTCTTTCAATTAGCTGCCTCCAAAGAGTTCTGAAACTTGTGCCCAGGGGGTCATCGTAGGCCCCTGAAGCCAGACCCCAGTTCCAGGAAGGTGGCCTGACAAGTGGATGGCTCCTTCTAGCTGGTGTGGTATTTCTTTTGTGGGATCACATGATAGCAGGTCACCAGAATGATGCTGACATGTTGATTTTGGATGACTCAAACACATCCTGTACATAGGATAATTTGGGACTCTGGGTTACCAACGGTCACTACTGGTCTTTGGACTTGAGCACTTGTCTTGGATGCTTTCAGCCATCCAAGTGCCACTCCTGTTCTACAGCACTTGACGGTGGCAAGGGTAGCAGTACACGTTTCTTTTCCTTTGAACCCCCCACTGCTGGCACCAGAGTGGTTACTACACCATTTGCAGGCTCCACATAGAAGTGTGGGAGGCTGCTCCTGTCTCCTGCAGGAACTTGTGAGACCATGTTTTGCAGTGCCAATGGGGCACGTCCAATCAATGTCCTCTCTTGGCTCTGATTGATGGGTGGTGGCATATTTTTTCCGAGTTGGTCGTAATCTGTGCGAGATGAAAGAGAGTCACTACTTGCATGAACAGGACTGTTCTTTCACTCTGCCCAGGGGTCCCTTGCCTGTCCTTCTGGCTGGTGGCAATGTGTGGAAGACAGGGCTGTGGTGTGGTCGGTTACAAAGGAGGTCAGATCCTAGGAATGCAATGATCATGGCCTAAAGAGTTCAAGAGAAGATACAATTAGAAGATGTGTTGTTTTGTGTTTACACTGTATAATTCCAAAAGGCAAATTCCCCCATGACCAGAAAATGATTTATTATTCTCATTCTCCTCCATACTCCAGGGGCTATGGTCTGAATGTGTGTTCCCCTGTCCCCAATTCATGTTAGAATCCTATGTGACAGTGTTAAGAAGTGGGGCCTTTGGGAGGGGATTATGTCATGGAGTCTTCATGAACAGGATTAGTACTTTATTTTATTTTATTTATTTTTTTTTGGGGGAGGGGATTAGTACTTTAATAAAAAAGATCCCTTAGGGAGGAGAAACCAAGATGGCAGTGTGAGTGGCTGGTCTGCCGCTCCCACAACAATTTAAAAGTTGAAACTGATATGAGGGACATCTATTGTCCAAAACCACGGGAAGGAGGTACTGGGTAGTTAATAGTCAACAATTAACATGATAATGAGGGCAGTGAGAGACCGATGGGGCTCTTGGAATGTGACCAGCTGGAGAAGTGGAGGAGTGGCGGGCCCTGAGCATCCAGGCCCGGAGCAGCAGCAGCCAGGCCTGGAGCAGCCAGGCCCGGAGCAGCCAGGTCCGGAGCAGCAGCAGCCAAGCCTGGATCAGCCAGGCTCGGAGCAGCAGTCACCAGGCCCAGAGCAGCCAGGCCCGGTGCAGCAGCAGCCAGGCCTGGTAAAGTGTCTAGGCCTGGAGCAGCCAGGCCCAGAGTGTTGTGGGGTCGAACCCTGGGTTCAAAATGAAAGGAAAGAAGGAGCAATGCAGCCAATTCGGGTACCAGAGTGTTATGTCCGTCATCACAATGGACTCAGAGAAGCTCCTATGTCCCTTCACCCAAAAGGACTGAGAGCTGCCCAGACGTCAGCAAAGTGGGAGAAGAAAACTGAAAGCTTCGCAAGGGACTGAGGTGCCAACATGGAGTCATCTGAAGAAATTAAAGACTGAAGTGGAAGCTACTTCTTTATCATGTTCCTGCACAAGCTAGCATCTGTTAGCTTCCAGTCTTCTGCAAAGTTTTGTGCAGCAAGTCCAAGGACTCTGAGTAACTCTACACCAGCAACAAAAGAGACTCATTTAATAGCTAAAAATATTTTTGCATTGGCATTGTTGTTATTATTTAATAGCCAGAGTTTTGCTCTTGACATTCAAGTTTTGAAATTAACATGTATGTGGTTTAGTTTTTGCATTGGCAACAAAAACAACAACAACAATAAAATCTGAAGACCAAAATAAACTGGTGAATATAATAGAATCAGGGGCAAAGAAAGGGAGTGGATTGATAATTATCAGGGGAAAAGGGTGTGGGGGTGCAGAAAGAGACTGGATTAAAATCATATAACCTATGGATGAGGACAATGGCGAGGGGGGGATGGTAAGGGCAGAGGGTGTGGCAGGAACCTGGTGGAAGGGAGCTATTGGGGGGGGGGGGCGAAGGAGAAACAATTGTAATAATCTGAGCAATAAAGATTTATTAAAATAAATTAATTAATTTAAAAAAAACAACACCTCCCCCCCCCCCACACACACACAAAACAGATCCAGAGACAGAGAAGCATTGATCAGACCATCAAACCTCAGAGGGAGCCGAAACCGGTTTGGCTCAATGGATAGAACGTTGGCCTGTGGACTCAAGGATCCCGGGTTCAATTCCGGTCAAGGGCATGTACCTTGGTTGCAGGCACATCCCCAATGGGGGTGTGCAGGAGGCAGCTGATCGATATTCCTCTCTCATCGATGTTTCTAACTTTCTATCCCTCTCCCTTCCTCTCTGTAAAAAGTCAATAAAATATGTTTAAAAAAAAAAAAAGAAAAGAAAAACTCAGAGGGAAAGTAGGGGAGGGTGGGGGTAAGGAAGAGAGATCAACCAAAAGATATGTATACATGCATATAAGCATAAGTAATGGACAAGACACCAGGGGGGTGAGGGCATGGTGGGGGGCAATGGGAGGATAAGGACACATATGTAATACCTTATTCAATAAAGAAAATTTTTTTTTTAAAAGTTGAGAGAGGTTTTATAAGGAAGGAAAGGACATCGTGACTACCAGTAAGTTTATTTTATGGAGACATACAGAGTTTGTAATGGTGAGGCAAAGAAAGTAAAGGGTATCGGCCAATATTTGTTGTGAACTTACTTGTGCCAAGCTTTTTTTTAACATTGATTTTAATTTTCACAGCACTCTCTGAGATAGATTTTATTAGCTCATTCTAAGATAAGGACCCTGAGGCACAGAGATATTAATGACTTGACTAATGAAACCATACTTTAAGTAAAATTTAAACCTAAAAAAAAAAAAAAAAAAAAAAAAAAGCCCTCAGAGCTCTTTAGACCCTTCTGCCATCTGAGAATTATACGAAGATCTTCCACCCAAAAGAGGGCCCTCCCTGATCATGCTCACACCCTGGTCTTGGACTTCTAGCTTCCGAAACTATGAGATATAAATTTCTGTTGTGTATAAGATGACTGGTCTATGGTATTTTGTTCCAGCAAACTAATGGAACAAATAAGTAAGACTTGCATTTGTGGCCATTATCAACAATGAAACTATTTTTTTTTTAAGTGCTGCCTTTTTCTTGTGGCGAGAGATACAAAATTATCCAAGAATGAAGAAATGGTTCCTAGGTTTAACAGGAAGGGATAGTGCCTGCACACCACAAAGAATCTGCCTGTGTACTGATTGGACAATAAACAATTATGCATCTTTTCTCTACCCATAATTCTAAATCTTCATTTAATAAGACATTATACTTCACTTAGGCCTACAAAATTTAAACATTTAAAAATCAAATAAATGAGGGTCCATGCCCCTTTCCCTTCCTCCCCCATTGGGCCAGGGCCACCCACACTCAAATCCAGGGTAATG